CGCTACTTCGTACTTTTATCCGGAAGACCCCTTTATGGTGCCCTATTTTTTTGCAAGTCTTCCTGTTTGAATTTCAGACTGAACTCCATTCTCCTCTCGCTCGTATTTTTATGTCTCCTTTCCGGCGTGCTTTGTGTAAGTTTCATAAATTATAACAGTCTTTATCGCGATCGTCTTCTATCGTGTCAGAGGTCGTCGTCAGAAATTTTGTGCAGCGTTTAAGTTTAGTTGTCGAAAGCAGAGCATAACTATCCATCAGAAAAATTTATTCAAAAATTCCACAGGGCGTAATATTTTGGCGTTTTTAAACAAGGTGGCTCATTCATTAAAACTGCCTCATTGATGTCATCTTCCAGATTTATGTAAACATGTTTAGGATGGAGTTTTATTAAAAATTTTAATTGCAGACTTATCAGCATTTCCAGTTAGCTTAAAATTAGACTTCGGTGATTCTTCGGATGCTGTTCCATAGTTCTTTACCCGAAGAACGTGGATTAAAGTAAACTACCTGTATTTTGCATTGAACGACTTCAGTAGAAAATGTTACCTATTTTTTAGGAAGAAATTTGTCGATGAATTGACTGATCTACGCAGTTAATGTTAGTTCCTCCTTAAACCTGCATGCAATACAAGTGCACAAATCTGAAAGAGTTAACAACTATGGTACATGTAAACCAGGCATTCTATTGATAGTTTACGAAATAATCTGATGGCCTCTCGAAGATGCCATTGTTATTAGCGAGATATTTTATATTAAAATTGGTTTTTACCTACTTGAATTCCCGTTCACAGATGACAAGTTTCGAACCAATTAATGTTTTTTCAGGGACATTATTTTAAGCTTGCCTACAGACAGTAAATTAATTTTTTTTCCAGGTGCCGGAAAACAACCCGAGATGCGAGGAGATCTGTACACCCGACGCCTGCCAGTGTGTTGGCATAAAGGGTGAACATGTAAGTAGAGCGGCTTTTTCGTTCACTGATCGTGACTGAAGAAAAACGCATGTTTCACTTAATACCTGTCCTCTCGATGTATTCAATAACAAAACATTTCTTCAACCAATTCAACAAAGATAATTTTAATCACTAAACTCCGCATTTAAATGTACTTCCCGTAATTACAGTTCCGAAGCTTCCTCTAGGTTCATTGGTGGTTTTCCGGTAGCTTCCAGGGACAAAGACTTACAAGAACTGGATTGAATGGTCGATTATCTTTCTGTCATGTTATTCACGAACGCAGGTCCCTTACTTCTCATTCCGAAAGCTCGGGTTCTCATTTGCAAAATAACAAGGAAGCTAAAATAGATTATATTTTCTTTTGCTTGCATATTTCGTTTGCAAAACAAAGGCTATGGCGTTGTTGACATGACTTCAAGGCGGATAAAACCCCAATAAAAATTCCGGTTTAAGACATGCTTTACACATGAGGCGCCGCCTACAGTGATATTGCGTAGGTTAACAGCAGTAATGATTTGTTCTCGTGTGTTTTATTTTCAGAGATGTAAAAGTAAACGTAAATAACAATACGTTTTGATTGTTCTTCCGATTTTGGTCGACAAGATAAATGTACCCCGATATAAAAAAAAATCCACTGTTTTTTTATCCTAAGGGACCCCAAGGTCCTCGAGGAGCCCCCGGCGAACCTGGCCCCGTGGGTGACCAAGGTCCACATGGTTTCTGGGGCGAACGGGGCGCACGTGGCCCCCCTGGTATGGACGGTTTACCTGGCCCCAAAGGAGAACAAGTAAGTTTTTGCGCTTATGCTTTTCAATATACTTCAAAAAGGGTCTCTAGTAAAAGAAAAAGTGCGCCAACTTACTTTTACTTCACGTGCTCAGGCTTAAGGCTGGATAGCCTGTTCTTAAGGGAGCTGAACTGCCATCGAGTGCACATTTTTATGTCTTAATTGGCGGTCAGGTGCTGCATGATAGATATCTACACTTATTGTAACCTTTGATAGTGATTGTAATGTACAGAGCACAGTAAACGCATAAAACGGTCAGATGCTTCAATAATTATTTCAACGTCTTTCCACACTTCCATTGTTTTAACTAGATAAACACTGCATTTTGTTATCTACTCCCATTCTTATGTAAGGAACTCACTACATTCTATCTGTATATGACTACCCAGCCCGCAATTTTAATTCTCTTGGTTTAGTCGTGTTGTGCCTACTGTCAAGCATATACCGGTGGTCAGTAATAAACTCACAATTTTAAAAAATGTACCTTGGAAGATAAGATAACTGACCAAAGCCTTACGAAGTGTTTTAATACTGTCATCTATCGTGCAATAAATAGGGTTTACGATTACGTTATTTGGTCATAAAGAGTTGCTGAAGGATATAGGTTCCCTTTTTACTAAAATATAGTCATTATATACCGAGGTTTCATATACTAGTGTGATGTCTTTTGTTATTAATATCACGAAACACAAATAACATCATCTTATTTTCACGTTAAAGTTCTTGGGAGTTATGGCTGCTTCATATACCACTAATGAGCCTACAAGGTCAGTTCTAGGAGACCTAATATAAGCAGCGGACTCGCACTTATTAAGGTAAAAAATACTAATTCGGTATTTGTTAGAAAACTTTTATACTTTGATTTACAAACTTTTGGTCTACTCAACAGTTCGGGCAGGTTACAGGTTACAACAGGGCACCTGCTCATCCCATTGCACAGTTAAGTTCAAGTCCACGCCAATCTCCCTCTCTCTCCCCAGCATTATATAAATTAACAGAAACAATGCACAAGGGATGTCAGCATGGAAGAGGACGAACGAGTGAACCTTTCTGGCCAAACGAAACTCATAACCTTAGAGATAATAAATTAACAAAATTTAATATCAAATTCCGCATAGTTTCATTGCCTTATAATTAGGAAGTTTTGTCACTTGCATGGTATTTACATGATTGTCTTCTGCTGATTTCAGGGTCCCCGAGGTCAACAAGGTTTCCCGGGAGAAATGGGAGTCTCGGTAAGTGGTTGGGTTAATCAGGTTGAATCTAACCGAAGTCTCTATTTTAGGGAGCGCCGGGTGCACGTGGACCCAAGGGCGCCAAGGGAGAAACAGGTTGTCAAGGCCCACGGGTATGTTATGCACTACAATCTACTGTTCATGGTGCCTAGGCTTAGTCGTGGAAAAAAAGTGAAGATTATAGTTCTGAAAACGTTCTGTTTAGGGTGAAGACGGCGAGGAAGGACCTGTAGGCATGGACGGGAACCAGGGACCTCCAGGAGAAGCCGGACCGCCGGGACCCAAGGGTATGCCGAGCTCACTGGATGACGGCCCCCCTGGGCAAGAGGTGAGTTACTGGGGCTAAAGTACCTATTTATACTGATGCTTACTTAGAAGAGTTAAAACTGGTCAGAAAATATATGTAACGACAGCAGAAGGCATTTTATTTCTCAACAGGTTGACGAGAATAATTCGTACATAACATAGAGATGGAAGGAGAACAATAAAATTTACTCCTCTAAACATCAAAATTTTCATATTTCCCTTGAGTACATGAGAGCTTAGACTGAATGAGTTCTCCTTAACGCGTAAACCATGAAAATGGCTTTTAGGAATGCAAATAATGCACCTTAATTAGCACACTTTACCCTCAAAACTTGTATTTTTTTACTTAAGAGTGGATTTCAGCTGCTGCTATTTTCCTAGGAATTCCAGTTGGGCACGTTTTACTCTTGGGGCATTCACAATTATGTCTTTTTAGTCTTTTTCTTAGCTGTTGGATGTTTCTAAATGCAACCAATGCCGGAGCCAGTGTAAACCAGTGTGTACGGCAATGACTTGGCTTTACTTCCAGTGTCTACTTGTTTTTTCGTTTGAGTCCGCCTTTCCAAAAAGTCGTACATGCATCGTGCGTTAAGTTGGCTTTTTGTTCGCACACAGATGAAGCCCAGTCCCAGCTACTTTTACTGAAAAACGCAGGTTCTGGGATTTGTCGGTTGTTAGATCATAAAAGAGACCTATTCACCCACCCTCCATCTTGCCTCCCTCGGAATGGAAAATTCAAATACAGCGGCGGAAGGGAAGCCCTATATTTCCTCCAAAATCGGGTTCTAGCAAACTGGGGGTGACGCGACTCGCATTTTGTGAAAACACAAATGACGTGTTACTTTTTTTTCCATACAGCGTGGGTGTAAGGGAATGCTGTGACGCATCAACGCATTCCATGGCCCCTAAGCTAACTGCGTGGGCTTTCCGAAACATTAATTCTAGCAGGTCTTCAATTGCATTAAAAGGCCATCTAGGGTCCTTTAGGGTTAGTCTTTGAACGCATACGTTGCATGACAGTTATCAAATTCTCTTCAGAGCCGTCACATTGTGCGTCAAAAAACGGGCTGAGAAGGGGAAGATGTGATTAGGCTTCAAATCTCATGTTTTTTTCAGGCCAAAGCAAAAGTTTAACGATAATTTAGGACTACTTGTCATCCTGCTGCTCTTAGCCCGTTTCTTGCCAATACCACGAGAATAATTTTGCGGAACATTCCATTTTTACGTGGTTTAAGGAGCAGAACCTGCGAAAAATTGTTCTGGCAAATTAATTTTGCTTTGCGAAATGCACTCCTTGGGATTTTCTTCTCAGCAGCCTGCAAAAATAACGATACCACTTTAAAGTCAAGGGAAAAGTTTACTATTTAAACATAAATTTTTCTCTACACCTTTTTAGGGTGAACCTGGCGATGCCGGAGAAGAGGGTCCGCAGGTTCGTGTCGGCTCAATTATTTTTGCTTTTGTTTCATCTACTTTTCCATGAGTATTTTGAACATGCTTGAACATTGTTGGACAGACACGCGTTTTGTACAACCTTTTGCATCAAGCTTTAATTCGAAATATTCCCAAAAGTAGTTTATTAACCCTAAAAGGACGAAAGCTTGTATTAAGTTACCTCTTACAAGCAAATCCTTAGCCCTAAGTGAATTTTTTGAAACTAACATCTAGCTCAATTTTTATTTTCGTTAGGTACTGCACAGCCCCCTCCCTTAGCCCAGACTTAGTCCAGCGATAATCTTCCCGTAAAAAGTTTCTGGAGCTCAACACCTGCTTAAAGTAATTTAGGCCAAATTTACCAACAATACACCGGCTATTTTGAATAGAAATGTGTAAGAAATAAAAGGAGCTCACGGTGTTTTGCTTTGTTAAATGTCCAATAGGTTTGACTAGGCTATTTCTAGTGCACTTATTGTGTTGATTTTCGAAATGCCTCTCCAAATCGCTATCAAGCGTATGTAAGTGTGCAGCGAGGGGTACGCTACTGATGCGCGTTGATATTTCGAGCCATAGGCAAACCAAATTTAATAGTCGAAAATGAAAAAAAGTTACCGGTACCTAACAGTATTTGTGGATTGGTGAGTAAGTGAACATGACGTTATTAACAGGGAGTAGCCTCTATCGCCTCTTCGAATTTTACTGAGCCTCGGTGTTTGAACATTCAAAATCATCCAACGCATACGCATCGAACTTCGTTGTCATTCCTGGACAGCCACTCTCGTTTAATCCTCTTAACTGCCTTACACTATTCAGCCTAGTTATTGCGCAGTCTAATGTCGTTGATGGATGAACCTTCAGCCGCTCCTGTTCAAAAAGACAAGCATACAAGACGGTACCGCGAACGTGCTGTAAAGTGAAAATTTGATATGTGTCAGTTCAGCACAAGCTAAAACACTACCGTACACTGGACAAAATGAGTTCACGTACATATTCAGGACTAAAGCGCGAATTGCTGCGCTCTGCAGTTGATAGACTAGGTAACAGGTACACCTCCGCCAGCACTCATTGTGAGACGTTTCTAGACTGAAATATTCAAGTAACCGTCCCAATTGCACAAACTGAGAAAGTGATAATTCCCATACTGGGGTGGGTCTTCATGTTAATTTGTGAAGATTTCCTCTGCAGGAGTAATTGAACAACTCTGCCTGTTAAAATCTGTAGCTGATCCCACTTTAACGTGCGTGGTAGTCTATCAGGTCAGGGGTTTGTTTAATGAGGACAAATCTTATTTCCTACGGAATTAGAGATTCTACCCAAGGAAGATTTTGCCAAGCAGGTGGATTGTGAAAAATAGTTTCATTTGATCACCAGATCTCATACCGGGGCCTATGCTATAGAGCCGATGAAATTTGCGGAATTGAAAGTACCGACTGATCTAGAATGCGCTCACGATGTTTACGATTACTTTTTTGTCAGCAGTGTTTTATAGAAATTTAAAACGGGATCCTTAAAGCAGTTACGAAGGTCTGAAAACCTTATACAATTTTAAAATGGGAATAGTGAATGCTGGCTTTTTAAATTATCCAGAGAGTTACACATTTGTGGACACCCAACAAATGCAGGGAGAAGTCAAATAAATTTCATGGAAAGGCATCCTTTGGGAAATAGGTAGTTTATT